TTAAAAATAAGTTTGTATGCAAATGCATTGATCTTTAGAAATAAGTTATGCATATGAGTGAAATTAGCACAATAGATCTGAGTAATATAGTATAACATAATTGATTTTCAACTTGTATCTAAAAATGATGATCAAGCTCCATAGAGATCCAATATCATTTTAACAAAATTGTTTGTGATACAAATCTTGATTCCATAGTTTTGGCTCCTGATGCTTTTGCTCATCCTTTGAAATATGCATAAAATATTGAGAGATTAAAGTTGTCTTCATCAAAACACAATGTTGGAGAAGTTTGACTTTACACCTGTGAATTCGATCTTTTATTACTTCGGCACTATTGGTACACTTGCTAAAAAGTCATCAAGTTTTTGATGTCGTTGTCGGGGACTATTGATGATTTCAACAAGACAATGCTTGTGCAATAATTTTGTCAAGTTTCCATGAGTTCGAACCTCATCGCCCTCAAATTGTTTATTCCTTTAACGTTAAGGCGCATATTTTCTTTTTTATTTATATTTGAATAAAAAGTAAAAGGTATATCACTACGGTTTTTTGTTAAACTGTTGTTATATATTTTGTTATGTCATCACGGTTTACAGTTTGGACCTTGGTGATATCTATATATATTATACACTTCTATCTAACTTGTCTCTTCAGTATTCATTTTTTCACTGAAAAAAGAAATAAGACGACACCAACCCTAACACCAATATTGTCGTCATTGTCGGAAACAAAGACAACACTAACACAATATTCTCATTTACGGTACATAAAATATTTTTGTCATTGTTGTGGATGGTATTGTTGTTAATCTTTTGTTGTTGTTGTTGTTGTTGTTGTTTAGTTTTGTTTCAATATCGCATTTGAAAACAAACTCATCCGAAAGTGTTTCTATGTCTTCTTCTTTTGTAAAATCCTGGTCTAGAAAATTTTGTGATTGTGATGGTCGTATAGTTTCGTACCAATGCAAGAAGGAACAAAATAAAGGAATGTTTTTTTTTAATATTTCTATTTTAGAGGAGTGATGAAACGTGTAATTTGTTCATATGAAATTAAGACATTGGAGAAAAAGGTGGAAATGAAGATGAGAGAATTATGAAGTCAAAGTTGAAAGCTATGGACTATTTGAAGGTTATGTATGAAGATTCAAAGAAGAAGAACAAGAATTTGAAGAATAAACTGAAATCAGAGAGATTTTTTGAAAATTTGAAATTGTTATGTTTTGTTATCTCCTTTATGTTTAATGTTTACTTTGTTATGAAATGTAATAGTTGAAGTTATGTTGAAACTGCAAATGCAATGACAGGAGTGCAACTAATGCAACAACTGTTGGACGACTTCTTACGAGTAAGTTAATCGCAAACTGTTAAATTTTCAATTATAATTATCTTTCGAGTAGTTATCTGTGTGTATATAAATAAGTCTAACAAGTTTATAGATTTTGTAACTGATAGTTTAAGGTAATAGTTTAAGTTGATAGAAACGAATGATACATCAAAGTAACGAGAGTCACTCTTATATAAGAATGTCGATTAAATTCGTCACCAAGAGATACGACTAAAGATGCAAGATGTTGTTAGATGAATACCAACAGTTGAGTTGAGATGAAGGTGTCACTTTGCTTCTGTGTGATACTTTAGTATTAAGGTACACCTATTCGTCGGCCGAATTAGCGCTTGTAACTAAATTAAGTCGATATTAAATTGTCCATCTTCAAATAACACACTTGTTGAATCAAACATCATGTGAATCAATATCGATAATTCGATTGGAGTGATCTTATATAGTCGTTGGCTAACCTGAAACAACTATTCATATGCAAATAACACTGTTGTTGAATCAAACGTCATGTGAATCATATTTAAGTATACAAATATAAAATTGCTCATCCCAAAGAAAACGAGTAAATTTTATTATATGGGTGTATAATTAAATATGCAGCCATACCCACATCACAAAACAACATAGTGAATATCCCAAAAAAGACAAAATGACAAAGCATATTTAAGTTTCAACATTCTACAATATTAACATAAAATATCATATGCAAGTATGTTGAAGACACATTTCATTATTGAAAGAATAAAATTGACAATGGCCACATTTGATGCTTTGAATTAGATTACCTTTTGTGAAGGGAATTTGTGATTTGTAGGATAATAAAGTAACTCGTTCTTCACTGATAGTACATAAATTTGGACTTATAAACAGATTATTATTTGAAATTTCACCTGCAACTTCTGATTTTTGAAAGAGCAGCAGTCCTGTGATAAATTTGCAACAGCTCAATCCTGGGAACCTTTCATGGCAATCAAATTCTTGCCAAAGATTTTCATAAAATCAAATGTTTACATGAGTGAAATTCACATTATAATGTGCAAAAGCAATAAGACTATAGGAGGAAGGTAAGGAATGTACATGTACATGAAAGACAAATTACAACAAATAAAAATGCCCATCTTTTGAATTTTCTTTCTTCTTGAGAATGAAAAACCCTTCAAATAGTTATTTAAGCCACCACTAATGCTTGTGCTGAATTTTCTGAACTAATATATACCTAAGAAACTTGCCCCTTTCCAACCTCCTCTGCGCATAATCATCAACTTCCTTCCATCGTTGCGTGTGCTTCTCTACGCCTACGCCTCCTGCCTGAACGATTCAACAGAACTCTGCCACCACCCTGTCGGCGGAGCCGGCTAACCAGAGATACACCATCATCGTTGCCTTCATTGTAGCTTCCATCATCATTGTCATCATCTGAGACATCCAATATGACATCCAGCTCATTGTCCTCGTTCTGATCTGCTAACCTATTGGGGGCCAGGCCTGCCAGTTCAGGCCTCAGCCGTCTACTTATGCTGTTGAGATCATTTCCCTGCCGAACTGCGTGTAACAGGAGGAAGAAATTCATAGCCTCCATACCCATCTGAAATCTACCATTTCTATCTCCATTACCTGCTTCAAGAGCACCCTCCTCGTCATCTGAGTCGAAGTCATTATTATGGCGACCTTCTATAACATAATCTCCAAAAACCACTGCCCCGGGCATGGCTGATGTCACTGTGCTGATAACATCTTCACGTTCACGCTCCCACTCAAGCCATCTCCATTTCTGCTCATCATCAGGATCTACTGTCCGTGGACGTGCCAAAGGATGCTCTGCTCGCACATGCTTCTTCAACTCCTTATAGCTCCCAACAAACGAGCAGTCTTCCTGCATACAGCTTCTTTCCTTTTCGTTGAGATAGTCTCGCACAGGTTCCACAACTGTCCAGCCTTTAACCTGACCCCTACATAGGGGGCAAGCAAGTTCAGTAACTTCATTCTTCTCATCAGTTAAGTTCAAATCATGGCGCACAAATGGATTGCCCAGTACGTTCTGTCCATTACGAGCTGAAATTACTTTGGTGTAAGCTTTCTTGTACTGATCAAGGCAGTTGGAATGACGAAGGCTAGTTCCACACATATAGGGACGGCAACCCTTGTCATGAGAAGAACAGAGAAGAAGAACAGCATTGTGTGGATATTCCATGCACACAGAACATGTCACATCTTCGCACTCTTTCTTATCCAATGCTTTAGAGCATTTCTTTTGGCACATTTCCTCACAGATATCCCTTTTGCATCGAGCCAGTGAGTATGGAGTCGGCCTGTACTGACGAGAAGCAATCCTGTATCGTCCTCTGCTTCCTTTTGCCATTTTCGAAACACCAACAGAACCTGAAGTTTAAACCATAAAACAGTTAAAAGAATACTCTGATTTCAGGGATCTAAATGTCATGCAGTGGAACAACCATCGCATTAACATATTTGTTTTATGTAAACTAGAAGAATTCAGAGACTAACTTGCAAACTATATAAAATAAAATAACATATAACTCTATTTGCAAATGTTGAATAAATTATTTTTAAAAAGCATCATATCTTGATGCTTGAATGTGATAAGAAACTTAATTTACTCAAGAAACAAGAGGTTAAATGTAGACCAATTAAAATCCATCCTCCACAAAAAAAAAAAGCAGACAAAACAGGAATATAATTGCCTACAAAAGCAAAACAAAGGATGTACAGAAAAACATAAATTTTTTGATAAGGAAAAACATTAATTTTCAGCATTCTACAAACATTCAATAATTTTTCTGCAGTGAAACATAACAGCCCAACCTTCTGCAGAAATAAACTGTTCCCAAACCTTGTTCCTTACCTCCAAAAGATGTCTCTTACTTATCTTTCGAAAATTCAATTCCTTGTAAAAAGTGAACTGACACTCAGTCACAGTCTCATAGAACAATTGTCCAAACTACTCTAACAATTTTACTTCAGAAGTTTATCACACCAGAGCACTCTGATATTTCTATGAATCTACTGACAGGAAAATTTAATCAGTGGGTGTAAACTATATACAGAGAGGAAAAAATTCATACTCAAAGGCTTTTCCTACAAGACAGTCGGGTAGATGGATCATGTGTACAGAAAGGACATTAAATGCAAATCCATCTTAATAGTTTTGCTAAAACATTTCTTTGATCTTCTTTTACTTGAAGCTAATGTACCATCGTTCATCTAACGTAACTCCTTACTGATGCTGCTGACTATTTTCTCCATATACGTTCATGTTCAAGCCGCCTAAGGCGACAGACTCCAAACATTTCCACACTAGGCGTATCTCCAACTATCACTCTAATCTTACATTCGTAATTTTATCTAGTTTTGTGTGACCACTTATCTGCTGTAACATACTCATCTTCAACAACTTACACAACTAAATATTAATCAAATTTTCAGAAATCTCAGACCTAAAAAAGGTATTTCTCCAATTATGATATGAAAAACAACCTAAATAGAGTCAACAAGAGTCCCGTCAAAGAATCTAAAAAGGGGATTTCTTGGTTGGGTTTAAACATGTTTTCTTCATTACATAAGCTAGCACTTGCAGGAAAGTTCCCTGATCTCACCATAATCTTTGAACATTTCATCAAATGCTTTAAAAAATGTCCAGTTTACCCAGTTTTTGGATTGGTTCCTGGTTTTGCCTCCTTTGCCATGTTGGCAGGTAGAAGCTTTGTTGCCTTACCTAGAAGGCTTCTAGCTTTTTGTTTCTTTCCTTTTCCTTTCATGTTTGGGGCTAGGCCCCTTTATTCACAAAAAAAAAAACGGTTATTACAATGAAGAAACAAAAGATTGATATAGAAATTTATGTACTTATTCATATGATTGTCAATCTATATACACAACAACAATCTATATATACCAATCTAAAATGCATCTTCAATTCCTCCATTTATCCATCTTTAATGATTATTTTAATTTAAAAAGTACTAATAATAAATGCATAGATGTATTGGTCATTTCAAATGCAACATCTGATGCATTACATGTAGGTTGTGCAATAGGAAAAAGTCCATCCCTAAAAAAGTCAATATTCTAGCAATCACATGTAACCTTGAAACTCATGTTAAATTTATCAATATTAGAATTGTTCAGTTCTTCATATCCACAAGGCATTACACAGATGAGACAAACACTCCTCACAAGGAAAGACAAAACATATTATTGTCCTTTGAGACCAATGGTTACTTCCATAACATTACACAGGGTTGGATGCCTAAAAGGTGGTAAACATATTAAATAACTTGTGCTCCACCAATCACTGCAGATCAGTTTACTCATTAACTAACACAAAAGACCTCAATTCTTGGAAGCAATCAAGTCAAAAGAATTTGGACATGGTGTAATACATCAAAATGAAGCTATAAATTAAAAGTATGATTTGCAGCTCTTTACTACACCAAGAACAACCTGTTATTTATTCAGAAAGAATAAAGTAGCAGATTCAGATTCCTCTTAGAAGAAGTCGGGGAGAATTACATATGCCTAATCACTTTAAATCACAGATGCAAGCATAATAGCAAACCACATTTCATTCACTTATTTTTTGACGTATTGTTACACTTTAAAAACAAGTCAGAGACTCATGGATGCATGATACCACAGGTTATAACTGCCAGGATAGTAACCCAAGTAAGAGCATACATCAATGACTCTTATACATTTTAAGAGTCTAAACTATGAACTTTGGTCTAGTACCTAACAACATTGGCCAGATCGCTTATAAAAAAATTTATAGCCAGATCTACTAAACAGGAGCATTATAATATTACCAAATTCATTCAAGCAAAACTTCTCTAACCACAAAAATTAGTTCATAACATCTAATATATTAATATCATAAAAGAGAATATAACGAGTTCTATTTGAGAAGGGAAAAAACAAACTAGTTGCGTATCAAACCAACACAATAATGAGATAATCTATTTTGTTTGAATAAGTCATGCCAGAAACAAAATGAAAACAGACATATACCAATACCAACTAGTGAACATCCAGAAGATGAAGAAATACATACATTATACAGTGTAAGTATTCAATGCAATACAAACACTAACATATTATACTATCAAAGAAGCCTCATTTTATAGCTGCAGTAAACAAACCACGTTATATACCAATGCATCAAACAGTTACAAGGATAACGGAAAACTCACCAGCTAGCAAAATAGAGTTATGAATCCAACAATTTAGTTGGAGAAACCAGTGTGCATCTGTCAATAAATAACCACAACAGAAGAAGAGAAAATATTAGGATAAGATTCATACAAGTAGGTCAAAAGGAAACAACGAGGTTAGACACAAGAGCAAGCAAAGACAACTAACAAAGTAAGATTCACACACAAATCTATAATATAATAATAACCAGAACATAAACCTAAGATAACAAACACATGTTCAACCATTCATCTTAGATCCAATCAACAACCTAATATTATATCATATAAATTATAAATAAAAAATCAAATTTTTTATTAAAAAAAAAACAAAATCATCGAGAAACAAATGTGGCAAAAGGGAAAGAGATGTACCAGGAAGAAAAACAGATAAAATGGAAGAAAATGAAGCGAATTTAAGAAAAAGAGAAAGAGGAGAGAATAAGGTTCTGTTGTAGGAAAAGGGTCGAAAGTAAAGGCGATGGAATCGAGAGGGAAATTGAGAGGGAGAGGAAATGAAAGGAAAAAGGGTTTGTGAGTGTGTGGGTGGGTGTTAGTGTTTCTCTCTCTTAAATTCTAATCTGCTTTTGGAGAGAGAAAGTGAAACCATACACTCGCCATGTTCGAGTCATTTGTACGCTATAATCTACCCATGTTCTCCCACAATTAACCGTTTGTTCGCACGCGCTTGTGTAGCGAGACTGAAACACGCTCCGTTAATGGTGACGTGGCACGGAGTGCGGTGCCCCTTCGGCTTAAAACCTACGAATCAATCGAGCATATTCTGTTCTGTTCTATCGTACGGTTTATAATAGTTGTAAAATGGATTTAATTTTTATTATTAATTTAATTAAAATATTGAGAAGAAAATAAATTTATACTATTAAAAAAAATAAAGAGCACCTCACGGAACTCTCATAGAGGTGTCATCGTGGTGTTGTTACATGGAGTCGATGAGCATCAAATGACAATCTTTTTTTTCTTTCTTTTCTTATTACGAATAAGTTTTCAATATTTTTGGTGAAATGTCCTATTGAGTTTTAGGAACAAAAAGATATGTTAAAATTTATGGTATGTTTGATAGAGTAGAAATAAGAAACAGAGAAGTAGAAGAAGAAGAGAAATAAAAAAGAGATTAAAAAATGTTGGATCACACAACTTTTGTTTTTCTCTTCAATTATGAAGAGAAAGTAAAAAAAAAATTAATAGATGAAAATAACTATTTTGTCTAATAAATTATAAATATATATTTTTTAAAGTGTTATTTATCATAAAAATATTATTGTATTTTTAAAATTACGTAACACTTGTCTCTTCTCTATTTCTTTTCTCTTTTTTAAAATTAAATAATATCTTAATTTATTTTTTTTTTTATCTTTGTATATTTTCTTACTCTCTCTCATCTATTTCTCTCTTTACAATTTCTCTTCTAAACCAAATACATCTTTAAGAAATATTTTATTAAACATGAGTAAAGGTTTTAAGGAAGAAGGTGTACCTTTTACTAAGGGTTCTTAGTGTGTTTAGTGGGAGGAAGGATCCTTTGGGCAGGAAGCAACGTTCTTGTTGAAAGGCTAATAATTTGTAACTTTTTTTATTAATGACCGAAAATAGATTAAGAATAATAATCAACATTTTGTAACATTTTTTTTCATATTAATGTTATAAGATGACGGAGGTAAGAATCTATTTATTCCAAAATAAATATCATATTAATTAAGTATTTGGACTCAAGTGCCAAATAAATATCTGGAAAAAACGGCATTTAGAAAATAGTGAATTCAATTAACACAAATTCTAAATTATTATGACATTTTTCTCATTAGAATCAGAATTCAAAAACAAAAGAAAAAATATCATATTTAAAGAATTAGGTTTTAAAATAGAGAAAATAAATCTTAAATACAAATACTAATATAAAATATCATTAAACGAAAGATATCAAATCATTTTTTATTTTAAAAATAATAATATGATTTTAATTTGTAATATATAATATTGATTTATATTAAAAGTGCACTATTTTTAAACTTTTTTTAAATACGGGTTTATTTTAATTTTTTATACTATTATTTTTATTTTTAATGGTGTCTTTTAAATAACTATCAATATTAATTTTTATTTTGTATTTCAGATTATTAAAATATAATAATAATTGTTCTGGACTGGACCCGACAGGCCCAAAAGCATTACTAAGGCCCAGTCCAAAGGGACTCACTAAGGACCACACTGGGCAAAGGGGGTCACGTCCATGCCCGACACCCTGATGTCCACCTCGACATCTCGGTGTCCAGCCCCATGATGAAGTCATGCTCGACAGCCTGCCGTCCAGCCCTATGTCCTGGCTTCCAGCTCGACACTCGCTGTCCAGCTCGAGGTCTTGGCGTCGAGCTCGGCACCGTGCTGCGCAGCTCGACATGGTCTCGAGCTAACTTGCTAGGGCAGACTTAGTCCACCATTGCCCCAACGATACTCCGGAAAGACCGCGTCTCCGTCCGCCCGCACTTCATGCAGCATATCCAGGAAGGGGACCACGTGCTGGTCCCCACTACCCACGTAGAACCTGGCAGTTCCTCCATTGGGCCAAATCCGCCCGGCCCAATGAAGGAACCTTGGCCCAGCGCTGGGGGCTATAAATACCCTCTGTTTCCAGAGGGTCAGGTATTCATCATTCTAACCTCAACTCTATTATCTGCTCGTACTCCCACTGACTTTAGCATCGGAGTGCCTTGCAGGTACCCCCCCCCCCCCCTCCTCGTTCAAAAAGCCTTCAGCTCGGAGTAAGCCGTGACGGTCCAAACCTTCTGATCAGGTCAGATCAGTGGCGCCGTCTGTGGGAAACAGCTTCCCCGTCTAACGAACAGTTTCAAAGACCAAAGCTCAATCCATTCACTGTCATGGCCTCTCCAACTCGTGAAGAACAACACACCCGCGTCCTCGACACCAACAACGGTCCCGCGGACAAGAATGGGCACCTGGACAATCCCAGTGGTGCCGGCCACAATACCGTCCCCGTGACAACCGCCCCTGGACCTTCCACCCGCAGGGACGGGAACACTGCGTCCTCCTCGACAACTCCTCCAAGACTCGAAGACGATCCGGAGGCTCTCGCCTATCGCCAGGCTGCCCGGTTCTATGAAGTCCAAGTCCCTGCCGGGGCAGATGCCACGACTCAGGCACTGTTCGCGGCCATCAACCAGACGAACTATCTCCTGTTCGCCCAAGGAGAAAGGTTAAGGGCACTTGAAAATGATCGACGCCCCCCGAGGAGACATCAAAGGCCACCATCTCCACCTCCTCGGGTCGAAGAAGTTCGACACCCTACTCCCCCGCGGAGACATTACAGGGAGAACTCTAGGAGCCCCTCTCCCCCACCAAGGCAGAGGCGGCCCCAGTATGAAAGACAGCCCGTCATCCCTGCCGAAGAGCCCAGTCGCGACCCATCAAGGCACGACAGGAGGCACAACAGAGACGGGCGTGTGACCTTCAACCACCGAGCATCACGCTCGAGGGAATCTCAGCACGACCAGCGTGCCAGACATCACTACAGGACCCCTTCTCTTTCTCCAGAAAGGAGCGACGAGGACGACCCCCGCGGTCCCCTGTCGCAGGCCATCATGGACGCACCTATTCCCCCGGGCATGGAGAAGCCCCCGCACCTAAAGGAGTATGATGGAGTGGCGGACCCAGTCGACCACATTGACGGGTTCGAAGCCATGCTCCACTATCACAATGTCGGGGGGTCCATCAAGTGCCGTCTCTTCCCAACAACTCTCAGGAAGGCGGCCATGGACTGGTACAAGGGACTTGCCCCGGGCTCCATCACCTCGTGGCGGAACTTGAAGAACCAGTTCATCAGTTCCTTCACAGCGTCTCGTCGCCACCCAAAGACCGAGGCAGCCCTCGAGGCCATCATCCAAAGACATGATGAGACCTTGAGGGAATTCATCAACCGCTTCAACCGGGAAGCAATCCAGGTCCCCTGCGCGGACCATATGAAGAGGTACTTGCTGGAGAGGGGCCTCCTCCCCGGCACAGAATTCAGGAAAGCTGTGGGCATCGAGCCACCTGCAACTTTTGATGCTCTCCTCGACAAAGCCCGAGCATATATGGACTACGAGGAGAGAGAAGCTGCCAACAGGGCACGTGACTCCAGGGCTCGCAATCATGGCAGCAGCTCGAGACAAGACCCTCCTCCCCGACGCACCGGAGAGAAGAGGAAGGAAGACAGACCCCGGGAGGTCCGGGAACAAAGGGGCCCCTCGGGCCGGTTCACTGAGTACACTCCGCTCACGGCTTCCCGCGAGCGTATCTTGGCGGAGTGTGCTAGCACAGATTTTAAAGACGGTGGCGTCAAGCGTCCCCGACCAGCTCCTGCCAAGCCAGGAGTAGACAAAAACAAATACTGTCAGTACCATAGGAGTCATGGTCACTTGACAGAGGATTGCGTCCACCTGAAGGACGCCATTGAAACCCTCATCAAAGGAGGGAGACTTGCACAGTACAGGCGAAACGACGCTCCCCGTCGTGAAGTCCGCGAGGCAAAGGAGCCCGAAGAAGATGCCCGACCATCTGACGAGTCGGTGCCAATCCAGACCGCCTTCTCGGTAACCAGGCCCGAGGATTTCGAACTTCCCGAGCTCCTGCAGGAGCCCCTGACTACACACAGCAGGTGGGAATACTTCCCCTCCGCCATGGTCATCAACGGGGGCGGATTCAACGACCTCACCATCAACTCAGCCAAGAGGAAGTTGGACGAACTGGTCGACAAAGCTCCTCCACAAACTGTGACTTTCGAAATGGTGAGGGGCAGATCAGAGCCTATCACCTTCTACTTGGAAGAGCTCCCCGGCGGAGCACCGAACGCAGTCATCCCCTTGCTGATAAGGGCAAAGATGGCCAATTTTGACGTGCATCGCATCCTGGTCGACGAAGGGAGTTCCGTCGACGTGATGTACACCCAGCTGTTCCGGACCTTACAACTGGACGACTCCCATCTGTCTCCATATATAGGATCGGACCTTCAAGGCTTCAACGGCTCGACATCCAAACCTTGGGGATATGTCGAGCTCCTCGTGACATTCGGGGAAGGAAATGCTACAAGACAGGTGAAGGTCCGCTTCCTCGTCATTGACTGCCCGTCCCTGTACAATTGCATCTTGGGGAGGCCGACATTGGCGGAGCTGACAGCGGTCCCCTCAACTGTCCACCTAAAAATGAAGTTCTACACCAAACGGGCAAGGGTAGCCACCATCCAGGGCGACCTCGCTGCTGCCCGCAGGTGCTTCAACGCCGCTTCAAGGGGACGGGATACTGTCGACGTGGGTCCCAGCACTAGGCTCATCAAGAAGACAAAGCAAGAGTCCGACAGAGCATCTCCTGAGGTAGAAGTTCAGAAGGCTCCACCAAAGGTCGACTCCATTGCGCTCGACGCCCGTTTTGACCAAGACGAGCCGGCCAGCAGCGAGCAAATCCCCCTCCGACCTATTCCGGACGGCGATTTCGAACTCGTTCCCCTCGGAGCAGACCCGACCAAGGGAGTGAAGATTGGCAAGGACCTCCCCGACTTGGCCAGGAAGCAAATCAAGGCCTGTCTGCGCGAGAATGCTGATCTCTTCGCCTGGAGCGCTGC